TAACTATTCACTGCTTAGACAACTTTTGAAACATCAGGTCATATGGTCATATAATTAAAATTGTATAAGTACTTCAAATTGTTGCTGAGATTAATTTATTAGATTCAACCAATAAAGCCTAGGTCCTGATACTAATTAATTCACAGACTTAGGTCCTGCATTTTATTCATCTGATTATACCCAATTAGGAATTTTGTTCCTTTTGTGAAATCTGATTCATTGACAATGACAATAACTAAAATCACTGACCTATATAATATTCCTATCCCAAATGTCCTCTTAGCTCATTATTTATATACCCTTTTTTTTATAAGATTTATTTATATACCCTTAAGGTTGCCTTCATCCCCACTGTCCCCTGTCGTAGACTTTCTGTGTTTATGCCTCTCACTCACTCATCCTCTGCAAGGTTATTGGACTCATACACCCTAATGTGCTTCTAGTTTCCCTGTCTCACAGGACTGAACTGCTGTGCTTTTTCTCAAACCACGTAAGTTGGACCCATCAGTCCCTGTGGTGTATTCTGATATTTATATAGTTATATAATACCAAGCTCTATAAAGCAAAATTCATTCATTTTTCTCTAACCTTGATATTTGAAAATATATTTCATACAAATTAAAAATTCAACCTTAAAATTTGGCAGGGTGGATTAGTAAATGTAGAACTCTGACTTTCCTCTGAGGCTGTAATATCTCTTTCTAGAGACCAAGTTTTTGGAAAACTATTCCACGCTAGTTCTTAGGCCCTTTTCTCATCTAGCTTGAAGGAAAAGTAATTTTGTTAGGGGAAAAGGTGACTAAACCAAATTAGTGGCAGCTCAGAAACTCATCCTATGTTATACATAATGAGAACATAGACTTTCTGTCTTGAATTGCCTTTTCTCAAGGAAGTAAACTTGATTTTTTTAAAAAATGGATTGACGATTTGTAATTGTGAGATTAAAAAAAAAGTTTTAATACTAATTAAAATACAGTGNTAAGAAAAATGGGTAGCTGTCACATAGAGGAAGATTTCTAATGGTATGGTACATTTTCGAGTCATTTTATAAATGACTCGAAAATGTAGACTATACACTTGTAACTTTATAGATGAACTAGCTTATTAGCTTATCCAAATGTTGCGTTCAGCAGTGTGCTGGTAAATATTTTTAAAATGGCTTTTTGGGGAAAAAAAGCTTTTATTTGTAGTGTTTCTTATTTCCAAGGTATAACTACCCCTACTATGGCTTATTTCAAGCTGCCTAGATGAATGCACAGGTAGAAAGAGATGTGCACCATTGGCTCTACTTAGTAATTCTAGTGTTTTCACTATGGCTATAATAACTAAAGACTTACTTTGTGCCAGTCTTAGTAAAAGTCTAAGCATCTTCTACTAACACATATTTCTCATAACAACTATCCCCATTTTACAGATGAGGCACAGATAAGATAACTTACTGAAGTGACAAAATAGGACTTGACCCAAACTTTGTTGCTCCATAGTCCTTGCTTTTACAAACATAAAAAATGTAAAGAATCGAGTTGGTGTAGTAAATTGGAGAGTAGTAAGGAAGGAAATGGCAGCAAAGGTTCTAGAAGGAAATTCCAGACTATAGCTATGCTCTACAATAGACCAGGGCAAAATTCTATCCTTCAGGAAATTCTTGCAAGAGTACTAGTATAGATAACATACAAAAAGCTTCTCTAAGGAATCACTCTGGTCTGCAGAAGCAACCCTTGGGCTAGTGTTAAGTCTAGAGCAATATCCAGGATTAAACTTGGCCTTTAGAGCTTCACTGTTGACTACTGTACCTACAACCACATGTGGCTATTTTAATTAAAATTAAATACAGTTCAAAATTTAGTCCCTCATCTGTATTAGCCTTATATCAAAAGTGCTCAGTGGCCACGTGTAGCTAGTGGCTACTGTCACTAGACAGCATAGATATTGGATAATGTTACTGTAGAATGAAGCCAGGCATGCTTACGCTATTTTGTTGTATCCCCTCTTGCCAGCTTTATATTTTCTTCATGTTTTACCTTTGACCTTTATATTGGTAGGCCTCAACTGAGTAACTACCTTATTTCCTCTTTATATACTAGTATTGTGTCAAGATCTAAACTTCAGAATTAGTAATAACTCATTTCTTATCTCCTGTTCCATTTTTAGGGAAAATATGTAATGCTTAGGAAACAAGATTAACAAATGTTGTAACCTCCAAAATTTATACCTTTTAAAAATTGGCATTAAATACAATATTCATATTTCTTTTTACTTAATAATTAAGGAGAAGAAAGCTCGGGTCATGCCACTCTGTCTCAGGAGCCTAATGGATGTTCAAATCAGAGACCTTCAGAGGACCTCACTGTCAGAGTGGAAAGGTTTGCTCTTATTTTTTATAAATAGTATTTTGTTAAAAAGACAGTGGTTTCCAGTTATTTCATTAATTTGAGTAAAAGCTAAAATTACACAAATGAAGTTTCATAGTTCTGGGTTGAAATTTTTTGTTACCTGACCAACTTTCGTATTCATAGAGATTACATTCTAGAAACAAAGTTCTGTATCTCTGAAGTCATCGGTCAGTTTTAGGTATGATCATTCTTAGAATCTTTTTTTCAGTGGCATTTTTGGTACGTGTGTGTTTCCATCTGTCGCTTTTGCTTTTATCTCTCTATGCCATAGGATAAGTTTCAGATGGGCAAGAACTTCAGCTAATTGTATGACTGTGTACTGAGACTGGGTTCTGCGTAAGTGGATGTCCGTTAAGTGTCATGTGTTATTAGATGGTCTAATAATCAGATTCAAACTTCTGATGCTTTCTTTGTGGTCTCTAGTTGAATATTTTTTAATGATATAGTAATTAGCAAATCATAGTCTTTTATACCATAATTCTTTTTTTTTTTATATAGCTGAGGCATCCTGCCACCTGTTGGCGGCTCAGCGGCAGTTCAGCTCAGGTCAGGAATCGAACCGGCGATCCTGTTGCTCAGAGCTCGCACTCTTGAGCATGCTTTTAACCAACTGAGCCACTCGCTCGGCCCTATACTTTAATTCTTAAAAGTTATATGAGTTAATGGTGTAAATGGATAAACAGGAATATTTTTAAATCTTTACTTAAAACCACTCAGTATTAAATGGAAGTTAAGAAAAACTCCTTAGACTTGACATTTTCTTGTTCACATAGATAGTATAGAGAAACAAGGTTCAAAATGATTGCTGACATTGGATATTTGGGATCACTCTTGACTATAAAAATCAGCTTCATTTCGGCAAAACCTAGATTCTCGTTGTTTTCTGTAGGAGTTGGGGGCAGGGTCAAGATCTTGAGGTGAAAAACAGCATAGATAGATCCTCTCACAGTGGTGAGAAATGGTGTAACGCTGGAAGAGCTGCAGCAAGGAACCAAAGTTCCCGGGCGCTCATCATCTTTTGTTTCCTTCTGTCTCACTAACACCAAGCCCACCACTGGGCACCCTTACTTGTACCATTCTGGGGCGAAGTGAAAATCAAAAATCAGAAAACGATTTGGGTACTAGTGGGAAATGAGAACAAACACGGTAGGTAGCCCATAATCATGGAGTGGGGTCAGGTGCTATTTAATTGCAGTGGGAACAGGGAGTTTCTGTTGTCCCTTTTTTTAAAGTTTATTTTCAATTACAGTTGATGTACAATATTATATTAGTTTCAGGTGTACAGCATAGTGATGAGACATTTATATAACTTACGAAGTGATCATCCTGATAAGTCTAGTACCCATCTGACATCATACATATTTATTACAATATTATTGACTGTATTCCCTATGCTGTACTTTACATCCCTGTGACTTTTTTTTTTTTGTAGCTGAGCCATCCTGCCACCTGTTGGCAGCTCAGCTCGGGCCGGGCAACCACTGTTGATCAGAGCTCGCACTCTTGAGTGAGCTCTTAACTAACTGAGCCACTCGGCCGTCCCCTACCCTGTAACTATTTTTATAACTGGCAGTTTGCACCTCTTACTCCCTTTTACTTTTTTCACCCATGCCCTCAACCCACCCTCCTGTTATTTCTTAATAGTTTCCATTCTCATGTAAGGTAATACCTGCTGTGTCTGCCTGTGTGGTTCTACAAATACAATATAATATATCATTTTAATTTAAAAAGTTATATGTACACTGGTATATATGTGCTACATGTAGTATAATGAATCATAAATACACTTTAAGACATACAACAAAATGTTTATACTAATGTCTATGAAAGGGGAAATAGGGATTTTTTTTTTCTCTTTGTTCTGAGGTTGCTAAATTTTCTTCATGGAGCATTATTTTATCATTAGCATATCAAGTCAGAGTGGGTCTACAGTTGTTCGAGATTCCTTAAACTGAGAAATAACTTTGAAGTACTCTTGGAGATGACATATATGCAATTTTTTAAAAAGCTTATGCTATTAGGACTGTACATGAAATATATGTGGGCTGGGAGCTTTTGAAAAAACAGGATACTAATACTGAAATCGGATGAAATGTTGACAAATTTTTTTTTTTTTTT